TTTAATGTCATTATTCTCTGCAATTCTCTCTGGGAAAATGATACTACTTTTGGTTAAGTATCCTAGTAAAGGGCCGGGCACGGTGGCTCAAGCCTGTAATCCTAGCACTTTGGGAGGCCAAGACAGGCAGATCATGAGGTCAGGAGATTGAGACCATCCTGGCTAACACGGTGAAACCCCGTCTCTACTAAAAAATAAAAAAAATCTAGCCAGGCGAGGTGGCGGGCACCTGTAGTCCCAGCTACTTGGGAGGCTGAGGCAGGAGAATGGCATAAACCTGGGAGGCAGAGCTTGCAGTGAGCCGAGATCCTGCCATTGCACTCCAGCCTGGGTGACAGAGCGAGACTCCGTCTCAAAAAAAAAAAACGAAAAAAAAAAAACTATCCTAGTAAAGAAGATAAATTCCAAGGGCTTCTGATGGGCTCTACCTACCATTAACAAACTTCATTCCACAGATCAGGGAGTCGATGTGGATTATTGAGTATGTCTATTCCAATCATACAGTCAAGAACTGCGGAAATGACCATAGGTGGTCGATGGATCTGCCGGGCCCACAGTGGGACAGACTTTGGTCAAAACTCCATTTTTTTTTTTTTACCTACTCACCATAAGCCCCTAGTTTGTGACACGTGGACTACAGTGGTATTTTGTGTTGGCAGAAATTATCATCATCTAATTAGACCCTGCAACGGACTAAATGTTTATGTTCCCCCAAAATTCATCTGCTGAAATCTTTTTTTCTTTTTAGTACAGTGGCGCAATCTCCCCTCACTGCAACCTCTGCTTCCTGGGTTCAAGTGATTCTCTTGCCTTAGCCTCCTGAATAGCTGGCCTTACAGGCGTGCACCACCACGCCCAGCTAATTTTTGTATTTTTAGTAGAGACGAGGTTTCACCATGTTGGCCAGGCTAGTCTCAAACTCCTGAACTCAAGTGATCTGCCTGTCTCGGCCTCCCAAAGTGCTGGGATTACAGGTGTGAGCCACCTCACCTGGCCCTTTTTTTTTTTTGGAGGGGGGTTGCAGACAGAGTCTCAGTCTATCGCCCTGGAGTGCAGTGGTGCAATCTTTGCTCACTGCAACCTCTGCCTCCAGGGTTCAAGTGATCCTCATGCTTCAGCCTCCCGAGTAGCTGGGATTACAGGCACATGCCACCAAGCCCAGCTAATTTTCATACTTTTAATAGAGATGGGGTTTCTCCATGTTGGCCAGGCTGGACTCGAGCTCCTGACCTCAAGTAATTCGCCTGCCTCAACATCCCAAAGTGCTGGGATTACAGGCATGAGCCATCGCGCCTCGCCTCATAAGCTGAATTTTTTTTTTTTTGGAGACAGAGTCTTGCTCTGTCACCCAGGCTGGAGTGCTAGAGTGCAGTGGCATGATCTCCGCTCACTGCAACCTCTGCCTCCTGGGTTCAAGTGATTTTCCTGCCTCAGCTTCCTGACTAGCTGGGACTACAGGCACACGCCACCATAACTGGCTTTTTCTTTGCATTTTAGCAGAGATGGGGTTTCACCATGTTGCCCAGGCTAGTCTCAAACTCCTGAGCTCAGGCAACCTGCCCGCCTCGGCCTCCCAAAGTGCTAGGATTACAGGCATGAGCCACCAAACCCCCAAGGTAATGGCATTTGGAAGGCCTTTGGCAGGTGATCAGGTCATGAGGGCCCTGCCCTCACGAATGGGATTAGTGCCATTATAAAAGAGATCCCCAGAGAGATGCCTTGTTTCTTTCACCATGTAAAGCTATAGTGACAAGACGGCTGTCTTTGAGGAACAGGCCCTCACCCAACACTGAATCTGCCAACACCTTGATCTTGGACTTCCCAGCCTCCAGAACGGTGAGAAATAAATTTCTATTGTTTATAACCCGCCCAATCTATGGTATTTTGTTATAGCAGCCCGAACAGACCAAGACAGAGCCAGTATCTAGCACTCCTCAAAAGCCACACAGTAACTTTAGTAAATAGTTACAAGTACCTTGGGTGCCAGCACTGGAGAATCCTTTCTCAAGGAAACCTGATCCCCTTTCCACTATGGGGCTCTAGGGCTATGAACTGGCTTCAGTCCAGAACTAGGTGAAAAGTTACAACTTCCTATTATGGGCACTTAAGTTGAGTTTCTTTTTTTGAGACGGAGTCTCGCTCTGTCGCCAGGCTGGAGTACAGTGGTGCCATCTCAGCTTACTGCAACCTCCGCCTCCCGGTTCAAGCGATTCTCCTGCCTCAGCCTCCTGAGTAGCTGGGACTACAGGCTCGTGCCACTATGCTCAGCTAATTTTTGTATTTTTAGTGGAGACGGGGTTTCACCATGTTGGCCAGGATGGTTTTGATCTCTTGACCTTGTGATCCACCTGCCTCGGCCTCCCAAAGTGCTGGGATTAGAGGCGTGAGTCACCGCACCAGACCAAGTGGAGTGTCTACAATTAGAAATATTTTCTGTTATAATGATGAATCAAATAATATTTCAATAAGCTACCTGTTTCATTCCTGGGGATGCCATGATTAATTAATCACCCATGAGATTCCCTACAGGTCATAACATTCTGATTGCCACTGTGTTCTTGTTGCCCATGGTGGTCCTTATGTCCACCTTGTCTGGTATTTTTTTTGTTTTGTTTTTTGAAATGGAGTCTTCCTCTGTTGCCCAGGCTGGAGCACAGTGGTGCAATCTCAGCTCACTGCAACCTCTGCCTCCCAGATTCAAGTGATTCTACTGCCTTGGCCTCCCGAGCAGCTGGGACTACAGGCGTGCACCACCACTCCTGGCTAATTTGTGTGTGTGTGTATTTTTTTTTTTTTTTTTTTTTTTTTTTTGAGATGGAGTCATGCCCTGCCCCCCAGGCTGGAGTGCAATGGCGCAATCTTGGCTCACTGCAACCTCCACCTCCCAGGTTCAAGGTATTCTCCTGCCTCAGCCTCCTGAGTAGCTGGGATTACAGGCACCACCACTACGCCCGGCTAATTTTTGTATTTTTAGTAGAGATGGGGTTTCACCATGTTAGCCAGGCTGGTCTCAAACTCCTGACCTCAGGTGATCCACCCGCCTCAGCCTCCCAAAGTGCTGAGATTACAGGTGTGAGCCACCACGCCCAGCTTTTTTTGTTTTTGTTTTTGTTTTTCTTTTTGTATTTTTAGTAGAGATAGGGTTTTACCATGTTGACCAGACTGGTCTCAAACTCCTGACCTCAGGTGATCCACCCACCTCGACTTCCCAAAGTGCTGGGTTTACAGGTGTGAACCACCACGCCCAGCCTCTGCCTGGTTTTTAAGGGCTGCCTGCCACTTGACTTTTGTCACCATGAGTCCCATCATCCTCAGTGAATCCAAGTTTCAGTTAAGCAACCTGGCAAACTGTGCCACTTCTAGCTGCATGAGCTGGCACAACAAATCCAGGCTCTCCAGTCAGGGCACCCATATAAATAAATTCAGCCCTGGGCCGGGCGCGGTGGCTCAAGCCTGTAATCCCAGCACTTTGGGAGGCCGAGAAGGGCGGATCATGAGGTCAGGAGATCGAGACCATCCTGGCTAACACGGTGAAACCCCGTCTCTACTAAAAAACACAAAAAACTTGCCGGGCGAGGTGGCAGGCGCCTGTAGTCCCAGCTACTTGGGAGGCTGAGGCAGGAGAATGGCATAAACCTGGGAGGCGGAGCTTGCAGTGAGCTGAGATCCGGCCACTGCACTCCAGCCTGGGCGACAGAGCGAGACTCTGTTTCAAAAAATAAAATATAAAATAAAATAAAATAAAATAAAATAAAATAAAATAAAATAAATACAGCCCTGTCCAGTGCTCCATTCTGTCCTCCTTGGTCTAACCACTGCCAAACACACTCCTTAGGTTTTTGTGATATAAATGGCAAAATTATTTCAATACATGGCAAGATCATTTTATAGTATTTACTACCTCCTTCCAGGTCACACTTTGTATTCTGAAGCATGCTGAAATCTGATGCTAGATACAATTGTAGGGGTGATTAAGCGGTAGATGGAGTGGGTCTTGGAGAGAATGGACACCTCCATACAAGGCCACTGTCCCAGGTGAGATGATTGCTGGCCTTCAAGCAAGGAAGGGATTTTCCTCTCAGACATGAGAAAGCAAACCCTGTCCCTCCCACAGAAGGGAGGGAGGTTCAGAGACATTCAGGGGTTTGGGGATTCTCAGATTTATCTGAGTCTGCCTGGATGCCCCACTCAGGCTCTCAGGATTCCAGTCTTTCTGAATCAATGCCCTACATTTTTCATGAGACATGTAGCAAGGCTTGAGTTCAACTAATATTTTAATCCTGCAACCCACAAAGTTTGGGTCTGGTTTTCACTGAGGTTGACCCACACCTCAAGAAAGAAGAGATGCACTCAGACTCACCATAAAAGCCATGGATTCTCTAACCATGACTCGAGCCTGAAGCTTCTCATTTTCTTTCTGTAAGTGCTCTAGTGCAGTCAGAGAAAGCCATTCCTTTCTCAGCCCTTGTAGTATTCCTGCCTATCGGCAAAAGTGGCAGCCACATTTCATCAACATCAACTTCAGAGGATCATTTCATGAGTCACGATGCTGCTATATGCTGTGCGTTTCCAACTTGTGCTTTCCCGTTGGCAAGTGAGGCAGCAGTGCATTCAAGACTAGGAGAACAACCAAACCTGTCCCACAGTCCCATCCCGGAGAGACCAGCCAGAGCCTAGGCAAGAGAAAGAAATCGGCCAGGTGTGGCCGGGCACCGTAGCTCACACCTGTAATCCCAGAGTTTTGGGAGGACGAGGCGGGCGGATCATGAGGTCAGGAGATTGAGACCATCCTGGCTAACATGGTGAAACCCCGTCTCTACTAAAAATACAAAAAATTAGCCAGGCGTGGTGGTGGGTGCCTGTCGTCCCAGCTACTTGGGAGGCTGAGGCAGGAGAATGGCGTGAACCTGGGAGGTGGAGCTTGCAGTGAGCTGAGATCGCGCCACTGCACTCCGCCTGGGCGACAGAGTGAGACTCCATGTCAAAAAAAAAAAGGCTGAAGGCTGGTTTGCGTCGACATGGCGGTTTCCCTGAGAGTCTTGCTGGGGGGCGCGTTTGCGCTGCCGTCGCTCGCTGTGGGTTCGCGACCCGGGGGGTGGCGGGCCCAGGCCCTATCGGCCGGGAGCCGGACCCCGATTCCGACTGGGAGCCGGAGGAATGGGAGCTGCAGGAGGTGGAGAGGTACCGGCTTCTCCTCGGGCCCTCAGCTTGAAGCTGGGCCTCGCGCCCCGGCGCCCCAGGCCGCGCCCCCTTTGCGCCGGGTGTCCTGCCGCTGCTTGCGCGGCGGCCCTCGTTTCCTCCTACCCGTTGTTAGTCGCGCAGCGTGAGGTGTTCAGCTCCCCAGGGACCACTGGTCCCTTCATTAGTGACGTATTTCATCATTAGTTTAGAGAGTTCGGCATGCTTACAGGCAGTTATTGTTCTAGGTGTTAGCTTTCTGGGTGTACAGAGCAGCTCTAAGCCGGCAACACGGCCCGGTTGCCCTTGCGATCAAAGAGAAGAGGGCTGGGCGCTCCATGATTTAGCCTGAGGCTCTACAAACATCCATTCTGCTTCCACGCATGGCTTGTGCCATTGGTTCTCCTCCCCCAGCACCCTGAAAGGACAGAAAAAAGCAATCCGATTCCAGAAAATTCGGAGGCAAACGGAGGCGCCTGGTGCCCCGCCCAGAACCCTGACTCGGGAAGCCATGGAGCAGATCCGGTATTTACGTGAGGAATTTCCAGAGTCCTGGTCAGTTCCCAGGTTGGCTGAAGGCTTTAATGTCAGCACTGATGTGATCCGAAGAGTTTTAAAAAGCAAGTTTGTACCCACATTGGAGCAGAAGCTGAAGCAGGATCAAAAAGTCCTTAAGAAAGCTGGGCTTGCCCACTCTCTCCAGCAGCTCCGGGGCGCTGGAAATACCTCAAAGCTGCTCCCTGCAGGCCACTCTGTATCAGGCTCTTTGCTTATGCCAGGGCATGAAGCCTCATCCAAAGACGCGAATCACAGCACAGCTTTGAAAGTGATAGAGTCAGACACTCACAGGACAAATATACCAAGGAGATGGAAGGGAAGAAATAAAGAAATCCAGCACCTGGAGGAGAGCTTTGTGCCTGTTGCTGTACCCCTAGGTCATCCAAGAGAGCTACAGAAGTACTCCAGTGATTCTGAGAGCACCAGAAGAACTGGCAGTGGTGCATTGCCAAGTGATCAGAAGCTGGAGGAGTTGAAGGCAGAGGAGCTGGGTAACTTCAGCAGCAAAGTAGTGCAGAGGGGCCGAGAGTTCTTTGACAGCAACGGGAACTTCCTGTACAGAATTTGAGTCGGGGCTTGGCTTGTGGAGATGCCTTGTGAAACACAGCTGGGCAAGGAATATATATGGAACAGCCTGGATTTCTGCATATGGAGAAGCCACCTTGGAATAGGAAGAAGTGTTGAGCCTGGACTGTGGGAGGAAAAAACTGCGTGGATAGATTCAGACTTCCTGTAGTAGTGCCCCCAATCTGACCTCTGTTGATCTTCAGTACTCACTCTTCTTGCTTGGACACTCTGTATGTTGAAAACCAGCCATGTTGCATGTGTTGTTACAATTTTCTGTGATACTTGCAATTTATATTTGAGAGGAAGTGAAAAGTTTGCCTTCTGACCTCATTTCCTTCTTGATCAGTGAACACTAACATTTTTGGGACAACTTAGTCAATTGTTTTCCTTACAAGCACAATAAAGTAAAATGTAGCAGTCAAAAAAAAAAAAAAAAAAGAAAGAAAGAAAAAGAAATCAGCCAGGTGTGGTGACTCACACCTGTAATCCCAGCACTTTGGGAGGCCAAAGTGGGTAGACTGCTTGAGCCCAGGAGTTGAAAACCAGTCTGGGCAACATAGCAAGACCCCATCTCTACAAAAAATACAAAAATTAGCCAGGTGTGGTGGTGTGCACCTGTAGTCCCAGCTATTCGAGAGGGCAGGCTGGGAGGATTGATTGAGCCCTGGAGGGTGAGGTGGCGGTAAGGTGGCACTAAGCCATGATTGCACCACTGCACTCCAGCCTGGGCGACAGAGTGAGACCTTTTCTCAAAAAAGAAAAAAAGAAAAAAAACAAAAAACAAAAACAGAAATTGCACTGGTGACTTCAGCAGAGATAACTTAAGAAATGGGTTAAAACTGTACTGGCAGTCTAAGAAAAAATGAAAAGGGATCACTAGACTGTGAGAGGCAATAACTGTGGAAGGAAGCTACCCTCCCTTGGGCTGGGTGAATAAAAGGCAAGGGTTTGGGGTTACTAGGATTTAGAGGTTCGAAGAAGGGACCCAGCTTAATACTGGGAAAATAGGTTATACTTCTCTCCCAGTATTGCCATATTAATATATTTTTCTTTTTAAAATCAACTTTATTAGGGTATAATTAAAATAAAATATTCCCATTTTAAATGTATAGTTTGTTCGGTGTTTTTTGTTTTGTTTTGTTTTGTTTTGAGACAGAGTTTTGCTCTATTACCTAGGCTGGAGTGCAGTGGTGCAATCTCAGCTCACTGCAACCTCCACCTCCTGGGTTCAAGCAATTCACTTGCCTCAGCCTCCCGAGTAGCTGTGATTACAGGTGTGCGCCACCACGCCCAGCTAATTTTTGTATTTTTAGTAGAGACGGGGTTTTGCCATGTTGGCCAGGCTGGTCTTGAACTCCTGACCTCAAGTGATCCACCCACCTCCTGAAGTGCTGGGATTACAAGCATGAGCCACTGCTCCAGGCCCACCACCAGTCATTTTTTAAATCTAAGTGACAACTGAGGCTGTGAGCTGTTCAGGGGCAGGGACCATAAAGACTTTATGTCTGTGGCCTAGGGCCTTAGCAAGCACCAAGCACTGCATTTTAGTGGGGCTAAAGACAGACTCTTTATACAAACCTAACTATCCAAGTGGACTCAGATAAATTTGAGAAGCCTGGACCCCTGAATCTCTCAGAGCTTCCTTCCCTTCTGTGGGAGGGATGCAGCTTGCCCTCCTATGTCTGAGAGAAAAAGCCTTTCCTTGCTTGAAGACCAGTAATAATATCATCTGGGGCTAGAGAGAGGCACAATCCAAAAACACAACTACAAAGGAAGTCAGACTGTCTTCTGAAACTCCAACTTTAAAACCAAGTGAAGCAAGCAGAATTATGATACACAAAGACACCTTAAAGAGACAAGTTGGCCAGGAGCAGTGGCTCATGCCTGTAATCCCAGCAGTTTGGGAGGCCAAGGCAGGGGAATCACTTGAGCCCAGGAGTTCAAGACCAACCTGGGCAACACAGTGAGACCCCATCTCTAAAAAAAAAAAAAATACACATTAACCAGGTGTGGTGACACCCACTTTTAGTCCCAGCTACCTGGGAGGCTGAGGGAGATCGCTTGAGCCTGGGAGGTCAAGGATGCTGTGAGATGTGATCACACACCACTACACTCCAGCCTGGGTGACAGAGTGAGACCCTGTCTCATAAAAAAAAACAGAGAAGTTGACTCTCAGGCTAAGAAAACTTGACTGTCCTCTGAAAAAGAAAAAGATAACCACTCTAACGGAGGAGTGGATTCTTTAGAAGGCAGGTTGCGGCCGGGCGCAGTGGCTCACACCTGTAATCGCAGCACTTTGGGAGGACGAGGTGGGCAGATCACAAGGTCAGGAGATCGAGACCATCCTGGCTAACATGGTGAAAACCTAAAGATACAAAAAACAAAATTAGCCAGGCGTGGTGGCGGGTGCCTGTAGTCCCAGCCACTCAGGAGGTTGAGGTGAGAGAATGGTGTGAACCTGGGAGGCGGAGCTTGCAGTGAACCAAGATCGCACCACTGCATTCCAGCCTGGGCAACAGAGCGAGACTGTCTCCAAAAAAAAAAAAAAAAAAAAAAAAAGGCAGGCAGGTTGCTTGGTCACAGAAGCATTGTAAGAGGGTCATCAAGGTTCACATTGGAAATGCAGAGCTGAACACCAGGAACGGGCCCTCCGTGTGTGTGTCATCTCAGGCCACTCTCCTGTGCTCCAGCCACTTTAGCCTTTTTCAGTTCCTTGTATATGTCAGGATTCTTCCAGCCTCAAGTCCCTTGGACGTGCTGTTCCCTCTGTTTGAAATGCTTTTCCTTCCCTGCCACCCCCCTTACCTAGTAACTTACCATCAGGTTTCTTTCAAGTGTCACTTCCTGTGGCTCCCACATGGGGTCAGATCCTCCTGTCATAGGCTCTCCTGGTTCCCTCGACCTTTTCTTCATTGCATTTTGTGATTATGTGCTACTCTGGCCATGTGATTAATGTGACTGACGTGTCTCCACTGGTAAACTCAAAGCTTCCATGACGGCCAGGCTGTCAGCCTTGCTCTCTCCTGTATCCCTAATGCTTAGCACAGGTTTGGGACATGACTGACAATATATATAGGGCAAGCTATGAAACCACATCCCACTTCACACCACCTCAGTGTTGTACAACCCTGCCCAACTGAATCTCCAGAAGTCTCAGTTTCCGCTTCTGTAAAACGAATAGAATCACAGTATCTACCTCACAGTGTTGTTCTGAGGACGCAAGGAAATAATGCATGAAAAGTGCTTAGTATATTGTTTGGCCAGGCACAGTGACTCATGCCTGTAATCCCAGCGTTTTGGGAGGCCAAGGCAGGTGGATCACTTGAGGTCAGGAGTTCAAGACCAGTCTAGACAACATAGTGAAACCCTCTCTCTACTAAAAATACAAAAATTAGCTGGGCATAGTGGTGGCGTTATCCCAGCTACTTGGGAGGCTGAGGCAGGAGAATCAATTGAACCTAGGAGGTAGAGGCTGCAGTGAGCCGAGATCACACCACTGTACTTCAGCCTGGACAACAGAGCGACTCCATCTCAAAACAAACAAACAAACAAACTGCTCAGTGCCCATTAAATGTCTAATAAATGGTAGCTATTCATGTTAGTACTACTAGAAGTGGCTGAAAATAATGTGGTAAATATGTCTGATTTTTGCGTTCCACTAGGTCTCTGAAATTTAACACGGTGGCATTCTAATTCTATATGTCAGTTTTACACGTAGTGACTATAAGTCAGTGACAGATTCAGATCCACTTTCCCTGTGTCTCAAAGATAGATTTCTAGGTCTACAAGGCTGAGGACTAGCCCCAGACCCTGATGAAGTTCCCAAGGCCATCTACCTTGGAGATCCAATTTATTGACCTGCCCTTGATACAAATGGCATTCTCTGCAGCAATATTCTTTTAACTTAGACATTTCTACAGTAGACACTCTGTAAGTGTTCACTGAATTGAGTTCTACTGCCTCCCCATGGTCACAGGGTAAAATCCAAATTTCTCAGCTTGAAATAAAATACACCTTAATATCTGGCTCCAACCACCCTACCCACCCTCATTTCCTAATTGCCAGCATTTACAAAGTGTTCACTACATTTTATCTCATGAAATATACTATCTCATTATCTCATTCTATAAAAATAGATATCTATATGCCGGGCGCAGTGGCTCACACCTGTAATGCCAGCACTTTGGGAGGCCAAGGCAGGCAGATCATCTGAGGTCGCGAGTTTGAGACCAGCCCGGCCAACAATGTGAAACCCCGTCTCTACTAAAAATACAAACATTAGCCAGGTGTGGTGGTGCGCGCCTGTAATCCCAGCTACTCAGGAGGGTGAGGCAGTAGAATCGCTTGAACCCGGGAGGCGGAGGTTGCAGTGAGTCAAGATCACTCCACTGCACTCCAGTCTGGACAACAGAGCGAGACTCGGTCTCCAAAAGAAAAAAAGTGATACCTATAGGTATCAAATATAGAGACCATTATTTATACATTATGTAATGTAACATCATATCTTGCATATACATATGTATACTTTATTTTATTTATTTATTTATTTTAATTGTTTTGAGACCGAGTCTCACTCTCACCAGGCTGGAGCACAGTGGTGTGATCTTGGCTCACTGCAACCTCTGACTCCCCGGTTCAAGCAATTCTCCTGCCTCAGCCTCCCGAGTAGCTGGGACTACAGGCGTGCACCACCACGCCTGGCTAATTTTTGTATTTTCACCATATTGGCCAGGCTGGTCTTGAAATCCTGACCTCAAGTAATGCATGCACCTTGACCTCCCAAAGTGCTGGGATCACAGGTGTAAGCCACTGCGCCTGACCACATGTGTATACTTTGACTTAAATAGTCTCACACAACACAAGTTCTTTTTTAAGTTGCTTTTCCACACTCAACAATGCGTCATGGATATTTCCCCATGCCATAGAGGTTTATTTACACATGTATAAGTCATTTTATGATCATTATTATTAATTATAGAGATGGGGTCTTGCTATGTTGCCCAGGCTGGTTTCAAACTCCTGAGTTCAAGTGATCCTCCAACCTTGGTCTCACAGAGTGCTGGGGTTACAGACACGAGCCACGTGCCGAGCTTACAACATTATTTTTAATGATTCCCTAGTATAGCATTGTAGGAATGTACCAGATTTATAGATAGACATTATAGTGGCTTCCAGCTTTTCAATATTATAATCAACACTAGGATGAATAAATTTGTACATCTTCAGTTACTTAGAGTATCTTCCTAGATTGAATTCTTAAAAGTAGTACTGCTATATCAAGGGAGTGATACATTTACAATTTTGAAACATGATACGAAATTACCTTCCAGAACTTGTTATACCAGCTTATGTTTCCAACAGCAGGATATGAATGTCCCATTTTCCCCTACCCTTGTCAATGCTGGGTATTGCCAACTGAATGGGTAGGAAAATCGGCT